GAGGAGCGACTACGGTGCGCCACCATAGCGCACACGCCGTGCCGGTGTTATTACCGTCGGTTCGCCTCTTCGAAATTATTCCGAGAATTACGTGCTAGACGCCCTCGTGAAGAGTGTTTTCGTGAATAACCACGCGAACGTTATCTGATAGATTGTGTGTGTAGCGAAATCGTACGCAAGGTGTGCACGGAAGTAAAAAAGCACGGTGCCGCCGGGACGGAGACAATTTGCAGCGTGGTGTGACGCCGCGTCAATGTCGATTCATGTTGTTCGTAAACGGTCGATCGGAGACTCGTGAGCAAACGGAGTCCGAATATATGACTCTCCCTTGCCCTTCGTGGTGCGCGCGGGCAACGTGTGCTACGTAGATACAAAAATAATGGTGCGCTCTCTACGACTCTTATCGTCGAACGGTCGCGAAACAGTGGCAGTGAAGCAGTGTTTTCCTCAGTTAACGCGTGTATCTCGCTTGTTATATCTCTTCTTGTTATTTTGATTATACGCGAAATGTAATATACACGAAATGTAAAGATGAACAACATGAAAGATAGGAAGTTGGTACTGGCAAATCGAACGATCGGTTCTTTTCCCCCCCTACTCCTATTAACGAAAGAGGAAGAGAAGGAGAGATATAAAGCGAGATACGTAGAGAATGAATGACTGTGTGTGAGTGTGTAAGAGAGACAGACAGTTCTAGGCTTCCGATTGGTTTTCTCTCGTGACTGTACCGCTTCTGGTCGTCGACTTGTATCTGCGTACCTTTTTCCACGCACACGATGCGCGCCACATATACATGGTGTTCGTTGAATTATAATATAATCGACAATCAGATGATTTTTTTATAAAAAAATATTTAGAAACTATAAAATACAATTTTTTTAGTATACAAGCTCTTCTGCATAATTTTGGAGAAAAATGATATTAAATATGAAAATATCTCCGATTGATTGTAATCTATATTAATATTATAATATAAAAATTTTAATTTCATGAATAATATAAGTGAATTAGATATGATAAACAATAAGTATAAAATAACTTTGAAATTATCTTTATCTTCCATCGTATCATATTTTTTTTTTAAAAACATTATATTTATCAAGTGAAGATATTTTACTGGAAATGTTAAAAAAAATAGATTATAGAGTTTCGATATATTTTCATAAATTTGATATCTATGGATTTCTATTTGTAAGATTCAGATTACAATAATTGTTTATATGAAAAATATAATATTTATCGAATAGTAAAATATTTTTAAAAAATTTAAAAAGATAAAGTATGATATATAAAATTAATTCATATAAATTATTGTGACAAATAAAATATTTATTATTTCTAATAATATTTTAAATAATTTTTATAAATTATTTATTATTTAAAATTATTTCTTTGTATTATTTTATAAAATGAATTATTAAAATTATATTGTAAACATATCTAATATAATTTATATTATAATCACATAATATTTAAAGTTCATCTTCAAAAAGTAGAAAAGCTTTTTTTTTACATCTCTTTTTCGATAAATTACGATTATTGGACACCCTCTATATCACATGTTGTCTCTCCGAAACAATACTGCTTTTTGCTCTACGCTTTTGATCCTGAAAGTGAAGGATGCCACTTCCATAGATATTGTTAAATATATTCTTCCAATAGATAATTTAACTACTATCTATTTGTATTTTTATATTAGGACTTGAACATCTTTTCATCTAACATTTAATTGAATTTTTCATTTTAATTATATATCATATTGATTTATACATTCTCTATATTCATTTTTTAATTAGTCATTTAATTTTTGTGCGCGGCAAAAAAATATGAAAGTTCATAAAAGGAATATTACATATGAATGTGTAATACAAAATAATAAGCCACATTTTTTTATGGATTATGGTTTATCTTTCAAGTTTATAGTGCACAAATAAATAGTTCAACGGAAAACTATCACGATGTAAAACTCGTTGGGCGTTGCATTTATGGAAAAGCCGGTTCGCGCGTTATATAAAGACTTCTGGTTCATTTGTAGTGCGAATGAACTATTGGTGAAAGAGAGAATTTTTCACTCGAATCAATGATAAACTGGCGGGAGGTCCGTTTCTTTTTATCACCTCAAAATATTCGAACTGTTCAACCCGAATCATGTTCTTAATTGAATTTTATAAACAATCAAAAATTTTTCATCGATAATATTTGATAAGAATATAAAAATATTAATTTTGAGTAAAAAGCTTCCAGTTAGAAAAATACTTCCGAAATAATAAACGTTTAGTATGATTGTATAACATAACCATAAAGTAACTGAAACCAATTCATAGAATGACTAAAGTTAAATTGGAATTGGAATTAAATTTTAGATTTTGATGATTATATTAGTTTAGCTTCTGATTTAAAAATACTCTTAAATTCAAAATCACAATTGAATCATTATTTATTAAATTTGAAAAAGAAAAAGATAATATATCACATGTTTCAAGTCTTGCATATTTAATTTTATAACCGCCATCATCATTTTCAAACAGACTCGAGTAGTGGGGGACAGACGCGTAGATTGACAAATCGTGACGATTCCGCGCACCGGATCCGTACGAATTATGGATAGATAGTGTGATTGCTCGAAATTAGTCGTGGTGAATCGTCCGTGAACATTACGCAATGTCTGGTGCAACGACCTGCGTGTGTTACATTGGAAAAACGATGCTTTTACGAGTAAAGCGGGAAGAGCTAGGCAAGAATCGCGCGTTCGTTGATTTCAAACGATTAAACCATTCGCATTCGTTAATATTGGAATTACCATATCCATTAATTTGACGAAATATTTGAAAAAATCAGTGAATAGGCTCTATTTAATTTAAAATAAAAATTATAATCTAATTAAATTTAATCCAATAAACAATCCAATATTTATTTTTAAAAAATAAATTTGATATCGCTATAATATTCTGATCGAAAAAATCGGAATATGAAAGAATAAAGCTAAAAAAAACATATTCTTCATAAATCAAAATTAATATTTTTTTAATTCTTTAATTAAAAAATAACAAAAACATTTCTGGATGGGTCTATGTATTATAGGCTATATATTGAGATCAATAAAATTATTATTATCTATTATTTTTATCCGTTTTGATGTATATAGTTATATGTTGAATATAATAATAGGAATATATAACTTTTATATTTAAAACAATATTCAATTATATTGTTGATAAAGCAAAAAGTCTGAAAATCGTCATTTTGACAGATTTAATAATATTAGTATTACATTACACACACGTGTACATATAACGGAACGCAGATTGCACTAAATTCCACAGTCCAATTGCATTGCGGACAGCAGCAGAGCGAAACGGTCACAGTCGCCCAGTGTACAGACGCGTGGCCGATTAGAAAGACAGTGAAGGCTAAATATAGTGCGTTCGCGTTAACAGATCTTTTCAATTTGTGATTCAGATATATTACATGTTCTGCGATGCGTCGACATCGTTGTTGCAGTAATTAGCAATGTATCTCGAATTTAGGGCCAACGATACCGTCATAATTTGTATGATTCCGGTAGACACTATCCGTCGGATGAGAGTTAGATCACAGATATATTTTGATTAATCGAAATTTCATTTTGGTTGACAGGTCAACAAAAAATGGTATTTATGACGAGAATGCGAAACCATTTGTCGCGTCATGGATTATTTAAATTTATATTATAAATATATATTTATTTAATTTTTAGTTCCGCCATTTATTTTTTTTTAATAATCTAGTTTTTTATCTCTTGTTAATTATGATTATTAGGTTATTTGTAAAAAATTGAATATGAGAGGAAATATAGAGAACATATATAATATGCAAAAATATACAATAAAGTAAATTAAATGAAATTATTAAATACAATGAATAATATAAATATGATAATGAATAATAATTATAAACTAAATCCTCGCGATTATTCTCACATACACAAGTGACTGTTAAAAAACAGAATGATATTTATTACTTTATTTTAAACTTTTATTTATTCATAATAAATTTCTTCATTTAAAATTTAAAAGTTATTAATATAGTGTTTTAAATATAAATATTTGATTCATATCTTAGATTTAAATTTTGAATTTATTTAAAATTTATATTTATTTAATTTCTGTGATAAATAAGAGAAAAATCGCTTGAAGATTAGTGATATTACTATTTTTTTTTTTTGAGTTCATATTAATGAATTGTTAATTAAAAGTAATTAAATTTAAATATTATTTTCGATTTTAACATCATATATAACATATATCATATCAATTTCCATCAATATGTCGTTGATGATGTTGATAAAAATCGTATAATCTATTCTATTAATCGTATAATCTATCTATCAGAATTTCGTTTATGTAAACTGTAATTATGATCTTAACGAGCAAAAATACATATCTTCGATTCATGTTATATGTTTTTACCAACATTAGCGCCAATGACATCTATCAATGACACAGAAAGTTTAGTAAATTAAAAATAATTTTAGAGTTTTATATCTCATATACTATTATACTATACATCAATATTATTATATTGTCCATATTTGTTCGAATCTCTTAAAATTTTGTTATTGACCAATCATCAATTGATTATTATTGGAATTAAACATTGAGCATACAATGAATATCACATAAAAATATGTTATTATAACAATTTACAATTATTATTGTTAAAAATACATTAAATATTTATATATAAAAACTACTATAAAAGTTATATATAAAAACTACTAATCCATATAAATTTTAATGTTAAAAATAACTGTAATTATGAAATATATTTTTAATGCGTGAATATAATGCATTAATAATTTTTAATTATATATTTCATTATTTATCTTAAAAATATGAA